TCTGTATATATATATGTGTGTGTATGTATCTATATATATATATATATATATATCTGTGTGTCTGTGTGTCTGTGTGTCTGTGTGTCTGTGTATACTTATAAAGATTTGAATTGGTTTTATATGGGTTGTTTTGTGTGTGTATGTATTCTATAATAATTGCAATGTACAGCAAGTTGCGCATGGGGCTACCCGAAATCATAGTACTAGCAGACTAGGCCCAGGCTTACACTATGACCCCGCCCGTGCGAGATGAGGTGAGTGAGTTCAGTATATATATGTGTATATATATGTGTGTGTGTGTGTGTGTGTATGTGTCTGTCTGTGTCTGTGTCTGTGTCTGTGTCTGTGTCTGTGCAGATACACACTTAAATAATCCTGTAGATGTCTTGGCAGCAAGGGCACTATGTTGGCTTGCATTCACTTTCTGATGTATCGACCCAGTGACCGTGGACGACCATCGGATAGCAATCAGCCTATGTTAGGAAACTCGGCATAATATAGGAAAAGTACAAAGAAGTGAAGGAGACATCCCGGTATCTCGTGCATATGACAGTGTGCTGTAAACTGATTACACATGTACTTGTACTGTCGCACTACAAACACTAACTGGGACACCGTATTTACTTCAACTCTACCAGGCAAACAGCACTTGAATAGAAAACTCAGCATGTCCGAGGATAAGTATAGGGAAGAGGAGGATAAGACCCAGCTCCTTATCCGTACGGCTCATTGTGAAATGCCGAATTTGGCCAAGATTGTGAACTGTTTAATTACCGATGGGGCGGACGCCCTACCTGAGAAATGTCATATGCTGCCGGGTACGAGTGAACGTCATTCGTGTGCGTATGACTTGTGTTTTGTCTCGCAGATCTATAGGGTTCTGTTATAAATCAGTATCTCTTGCATGGGTGTTCAAACGCATGTATCTATTTGACTATATGTGTGCGTCTGTGTCTGTGTCTGTGTCGGTGTATACATGGAATACAAACCTACCGATATGGACAGGAGTCTATTAAAATATATACGTAGCGATGAAATTGAAGCGGATGTTCGTTCACATCTAGCCATACAGTGTTGTATCAGATGTTGTATGTTTTACCTTACCATTCGCATGGGTTTAAGCATTTATGCGCTTACTTGAGAGCTGCCAATCAACAGAGATCCACATCTCAGAGTTCATTGATGTAGATATCTGTTTGCGTGAAAGTGTCTTCCTTAGCCTGAACTCGATACATACATGTACATACATCATTAGTCCGTATGTGTATTGGAGTATAATATACTTGCGGTTTTGCAAATATATTCCAGCCCGCTAGCGATGCATGCTGCCCCTGGCCGGTATACCTGCGCTTGCGTCATGAGTGTTTATTGCTATGGCGCCTACGTAGTCTGAGATCGAACTACTTGTGCGCGGGACTCCACAACACGCCCTCCCTATTCGATTGCTATATGGCTACGTATGTGTTGACTGGTAACTGGTAGACATGCTATATCTGAATACATATACTATATATGTATAATAATACTATACAGGAATACCGGTGGAACCGATGCTGGCCAACCCAACCAAGGGAGTCTCTGAGATCCTCACTCGTTTCGAGGATTTGGAGTTCACAAGTGAATATAAGTACGATGGAGAGAGGGCACAGGTAGGTACGGAGCAAACGCATGTACATGCATGTGTATATGTCTGTGTGAGTTTTTTAGTGTTTGCGCTGAAATATGTATTTCGAATCACATATGAATAAACTTTTAATTGGCTCTTCGCCTTTGGAATTATATTTGTATAAGGATGTCTGTTGGCTTTTTCGTCTATCTGACGTATGATAGGGCTACATTGAAATGTGTACTGCGATACATTGAACCTACTATCTGTTAAAAGTTAAGTGAGGTGTTTAAATTCCTTGATATAATATATCACGCCCTGCTCAATTGGTATCCACTTTAATTGTCACAAGTCGATTTGTTTCAACGGTACACGTGCCTGGGCTATAGTTTGTTTCCGACGGACTGTGTGAGTCTGTTAAAGTACCTCGGTATTATTTACACTTTATCTCGTTCAATTTGGTTAATGCATAGCTGCTGGATGTTAAACCATTGGCGATCGTTGATAAACTGTTCTTGATACCACCGTTGCAAGTGTATATTGGTCGAAGGTATTTTAACACCAGAAACTTGGATTGAGATTGGTAGCTGTAACGCGGCGCACGCCCGCTGATGTTGGAGTACTTATATGTATATATATATATGGCTAATGGCACAAGCTGTGTGGTCGTCACGCAAACTACGATCTACGATTCACAATTTCAGTATGGGCCGTTACTGCGGCTCTGTCAGATTGCTTTGCTAAAGGACTGCCATACCGCACTATGTGTCTCCATTGACACTTCATTTGTATTGTACCCAGGTGCATCTGATGGATAATGGCACCATGAGAATATACAGTCGGAATCTCGAGAACAACACGTCCAAGTACCCGGATGTGATTGACAAGATTAGACAGGTATGTAAAACAAAGCTTGTGTCTTGGATACTTCACTAAGTGTCCGGCAGCGGTGTATAGAGGCGTGTGCCTATACTTGTACTTTATCCCGTGGAGGATCATACACGTCCCAATCCCTAAACATTGGTATAGATATCTACGATGCAATACTTTTGAATATGTGGTCCTGGCAGATATAAACTAGCTATTGTGGGTGCATTGCGACCCGTATGGTATCTGCGTGCAAGAGTTGGGCCTTATATGTTTAGATCCAGATGGCTTTCATTAGTTCTTGTGTACGTGTAACTAGTGGGTTCTGTATGTGTGGATATGTATACGCACGCCATTTTATAGCAGCACATCCCTACTTTGTATCTCTGAAGTATGTTCACTATGTAGTGATTAGTGTCGTGTACCTGTATGTGTGCATGTCTGACCGGGTGCACAGTTTAGGAAAGATGAGTGAGCGTAGAGATAAGATACTTTACAATTCTCCGTCTTTTTTTATAACTGGGAGGCTTATAGGTATCTGAACACAACGATATTTTATCAGGGACGACAGACTGCATCATGTAAACATCAATTGTTTATGATTATGCATACTATATATATATATATATATGGTTCATGATTTTAGTTAGAGATAGACATCGACATGCTGCTGTTCACCTAACAATTTAATTACTTGCCTTAACCACTATACCACAACATTACTCCAGTGTTTTTCGCCAGAGGTGAAGAATTTTATAATCGACGCAGAAGCCGTTGCTTATGATATCGAGGCAAAGAGAATCCTGCCGTTCCAAGTCCTATCTACACGGAAACGAAAGGTAAGTCAGCTTGACTGCCTTGATATAGAATTTGGCACTAGGAGACCATTAACACGGAGAAAAACCCGATTTCCTAAGTGGTGCATATCCTAAAAAGATGGTAGACATAGTAAATCATGACCTGCCAGATCATTATGAGTGGATGCCTGCCCATCCTTACACACATCGATGCTTCGGAGACGTTGCATTGTGGAAATGTGATATGAAAGTGGAGTGTCAGGTGGTCATATGATACTTAAAAAGATTATATATAGATGACACAGTCGTATATGTACATGGCGGTGTTAGTGACTAAACGCTAGGTAGCCCAAATCTTTCGTCCGTGTTCCTGATAGAAAGTCTGCACTGTTTTACTGTACCCTTTGTAGTGATAGTGTATGTATGTGTTTTTATAATCGTCTTTATAAGAGTAAGTTACTAGAAGTGGTATAGCATATATATAAGGCGTGTGTGAATAGCTATATATATTATTATTATTATTATTATTATTATTATTATTATAATTATACATATATGTGTATATGTAAATATATATATATATATATATTAGTATACACTAGGAAATATATATGTATTCATACTTTCATCCTTTAACATGTGCCATGCCTTGCACTGCCCCAGAACGTTGAGAATGGAGATGAGGTCAAAGTGCAAGTGCAGCTGTTTGCCTTCGATTTGCTTTATCTGAACGATAAGCCCTACGTCACGGTATATATTTGTTAACTGGGTTTGTATGTATATGCTCGCACTTGTTCGCGTGTATGTCTCTATCAGCGACCCCGTATTTATCCTATGTATACCTAAAAATGCAACCGTTTTCCTGTTTGATTCGTACGTGGGTGTGTGTGTATGCATGTAAATGTGTGTTGTGATTGCGAGTAAGGTAGCACTTCTGCTGTATATGTATGTGCAAACATACCCCCATATATTCTATGTATGTGCATCTCAGGATCAAACTTCGATGTGTAATGTGAATATGTCACTCGTCAGCTCTATCTGGAGGATCCTTGCTGTGGTCATCCGTTTCTTCTGTGTTTTTGTGTTCAGTTTCCTAACTACTATTCACCGTCTGTGTCCTATATGACACTTCCAGCTTCCTTTGCGATTAGTTCTTGCAATTTTTCTGAGTATCGCGCTTACGAACCGTTCGCGCATTGTGCGTACGTTTTGCTCCGTACACAATATTAACGGCTGATTTTTTGGTTGTGTGCTCTATGTATAGTGATGCGAGAAAATCGTTGCATATCACGCATTACATTTACAGTTGTTTGGTGCATACAGTGTTTAACACATGTACGTATCTATATATATGTGTGTGTGTGTGTGTGTGTGTGTGTGTTTAAACTTGCGTATAATCTATTACTGACGGTGACGTGTGTGTATGCTGTATTCGGTCTATCGTTGACTTAGTTGCTACAGTCTAATACGTTGCCATAGTATCTGTTGTCATCTTACTAGCGGATTTCGTAGGGTGTGGTTATACGACACACGGCTACCAGATCAATTACTGAATAATTACTTGTACGTTGTATGTATCATTGCTTAGTGCATAGTCCTGACGATGTCATACTCGTGCATCACTCGACTATTGTAGTCCCTGGGGTTCCTAAGGTTTTAAGAGGGACAATTGGAGACTGTATTGCATCAAAACCTCTTCTATCCATGTTGTTGCCGTACTTATATAATATCCATGTTGTTGTCGTACTTATAGAATATCCATGTTGTTGTCGTACTTGTAGAGGTCTTGTGCGTTGGGTTGGTCTCTTCCAATCCCGCTGTGTTCTGTCTAGAATATCCTGAAAATTAAACCCCAGCTCCCAAACCCCAATCCCTAAACCTAAACCACTTTTCTCTATAGAAACCCTTCCATACTCGCAGGGCAGCATTGCACAAGCACTTTACTCCCCAAGAAGGCTCGTTGGCGTTTGCGACGTCTATGGACGCTAACAGTGTGGATGAAATCCAGGCCTTCCTCGACAAATCCATCGAGGGTGGGTCATTGTATATGAATTGCTGTGAAGTGTTACAGATGTTTGGATGGACAGTTGAAGTTGTCAATATCGTTGTATCGTGCATATGTCGCCGAAATTAATGTCTATTAAGGGCTCATGATGTCTGTGGGCGCAGGCAGTGTCAATATCACATTTTATCGTATAATATTGCACATGTGGGCATACACGACCCAAGGTATGCATGTATGTTTTATAAGGTGCGAACAAGCGCCTAGGCTGAGCTATAATACATACACGCAGTTGCGTTATCGCTAGCGGATGGATGGGATGGATTGGATGTGTATTGTCATAGTCTTTTCTAAGTCCCCTTGCTGATTTGAGCTGAATGTAGGCGAAATGGTTTCTGAGACACTGCCGTTATATATCCAATCGCAGATACTTGCGTATACATACATATTTATAGCCACGTGCACCTTTGCAGAATCTCTTGGAGTTTTACTGATTGTACGGAGTCGCGTGTGATCAGTTGGCTAGACTTCTGTGCACATATCTTAGGCACAAAGTTCTTATTCTTTTGTGTGGGCATATTGGCGTACTTTCAAACGAAGCATTGACTCGAGCCATCTGAACATTTCTTGTACGGGTTGTATGAAAACGAGTTTTCGTACAATAATGGAACATGAAGTACTTCTATGTTACGATACACCTGCCTATCTGTTGACAGAATTCAATTTGTATCACTTTGTTTTGACACATTCATGTGTTTTATATTGATATTATCAGATTCCTGTGAGGGTTTGATGATCAAAACCCTGTACCAAGATGCAACTTACGAGATTGCGAATCGGTCCAAAAAGTGGCTCAAAGTAAGTAACTCATAGCCAAGAAAATATCGCGTGCTTATTCACTATTCCAACTTGCATATTGTATATATCCATATTAATATTTATATGTATGTATGTATGTTTATATGTATGGATGTATGTATGCATGTATGCATGCATGTATGTATGTATGTATGTATGTAAGTATGTATGTATGTATGTATGTATATGTGTCTTTGTATATATATATATATATATTATTGTATATAATTATACAATTAAATATTTATATTTATTAT